AAAGCGTATATTGTCCGTCTCAAAATTGTCGTACACTTGAAAGATATCGAGTTGCTGCGTTGTGTGGTCCTGCGACTGGCTGCAGCAACGTTGTGGAAAGGGCTTTAAGCCTTAACACACTGGGCCGGGCCCAGTCCGAGTTAATTGGTGTTGCTTTGCAGCCAGACCCCCAGTGAGTACTTGTTAGGTGGTGCGCTTTCAGTGTTCGTGTATTATTTGCGTAGTCACCACAATTGGCTGTTACGAGAACTCACTGGGGGTTGGGCTAGTGTAAGGATTGTGCAAAGCCACGGCATGCCAAATGGCGTGTGGCTGTTCAAGTGTTTGGGTGTACTCAGAAATGGAGCACCTGTAACGGCTCTGATGCTCGACCGGTACGGCAACTATGTTGTCCAGCGTATGGTGGAGGTAGCAGAGGGACAGCAGCGGGAGCAGCTCTTCCGACGCCTTCTCGAACAGCTGCCACTCCTCCGAAGCTGCACTTACGGTGGGTCATACCCGATTGCCAGTGACTGCGCTTTAATGTTTAATACCCTGAAGAGACCTATCGCAGCTATCATGACAAGCACGTGCCATCCGTTGCCCTAGCGGAATTGGTTGTGTACATTTTTGCATTTGCAGGAAAGCACATCGTTGCTGCCTTGGATCGCCTTGATATTAGCGGCGGCTGTTCTGGTGAGGTGCCGGTGTCTACACCGGCCGGCAACGCGGCAGCGGCGGCGCTTCCAGTAAGGCGACGCGGGTCAACACTGCAGCCGCAGCATCAACAAACAGCAGTTGCCTCTCCAGGTCGGCGCAGGACTGTGCCCCAAGAGCAACGCAGCCAGCGGCAAGGAAGGAAGCAACAGCAGTCGTCTCCCCGAATGGGAGCCAGACCAAAGGCAACGAAGAATGAGGGAGGCCCACAGGAGACCTTTGACGGACTTCTAGACCGCAGCCTTCCTAAAGGATGGCGCGGCTCAAGGAAAGCTGCAGGAGTCCAGCGCAACCTTTCCGCTACGGCTCCTGCGGGAGCAATGCAGCAAAAGCAGCAGCAGCAGCTGTTCATGTTGCTGGACGGGCGGCAAGATGGCATTCCCCAGGCAGCTGAAGGAAGCCCTGCTGCGTACAATCTCGGAACGAAAGGCTCCACAGCAATGGCAACAGCTGCTGCAAGGCTGCTGTTGACCGACACTCCGCAACAGGCTACTGCAAAGCAGAACTTGGCAGGAGTTGAGGGTCTGGGTCTCACATCTGAGTTGCCTGGCAGCCCAACGCCTGTCGGTTTCAAGGACCAGGGGCCTTCTGGCGATGTAGTGACGGAGCCCATTGTGCTCGGAGGAGTTCAGAGTAGCGGAAGCTCCGCATCCACCAGCAACAATTCCCTGTCAGATCTGCTGGGAATATGGAGGGGGCATCAGCAGCCTTCTCTATGCAATAGTGCAGATGGCCGAAATCCTGCAGTGCCTTTTGAAGGGCCCGTAGGCGAGCAAACGGACGGTCTTGCAGGAAGGCAAGATGAATGGGAATGGGGGAAAACTCCCCTGTTCTTTCACCAACCTTCGCCCCCAACTTGGTGACCTTCACGGCCATTGAGGCAGCTGCAGCAGCTCCAGCATCAAGTGTAGAAGATGCAACAGTAGCTACTGCGCTTCGCCGTGACCAAATTAATAGATCCAGCTGCATCGCAGCTTCAGCAGCAAAAGCATTTGCCGAACTACAGCGTTTTTCAATGAGGCAACAATGGAGAGTTGAGAAAGGACGGCAACCCCAGCGTAAGCTGTAGCAGCTGCGGAGGCAGCAGCAGCAGCAATGGACTGAGAAGCCTGTTTCGCCATGTACCAACAGCAGCTGCCCCTTCTATGTGGCTGTAGCAGAACCAGCGAGACAGGCATTTGAGGCTGTGCGCCTCAGTTCTTCAGACTGTTCGATCACAGCGTAAGAGAGGTTGAATCTACAGGCGCTTCCAGAACAGGTGTAGATTCCGATGAAGGTGGCAGTTGTGGCTTGCCCTTCTTCTAGGGATGGGACAGTCACAGCATGTGTGGGAGCCACTACGTAGCGTACGGAGCCTTTTGCTCCCATACAACTAATTTCCGTCAGATGAGTCGCCGGAGGAGGCCTGTAAGGGACATATGCCCTTAAGGTGGCCTAATGTGTGCGTCGCCAACAGAGCCAGAACGGCCCTTGGGAACAGACAACCACGGGGACAGGGGTGCTAGCTTCTCAACCTAGATCTACCACCCTCATGTTTCCTGTGTATATCTTGTGTCGGTCACCATGGATCAAGGCAAGCTTGTTGAGGCCGCACTAGCACTACCACTGGCAGCAAATCCAAGTGCTGCTAATGATGGTTATGTACTTTCCCGACTCCTATTGAAATAGTACTTACTGCTTGTCCCACTAATTGCATTGTTTCAAGTGCGAGTTTGTCTTACTGGGCGTGGAGACAGCAGGTGCTGCGCCCGCCGCGCCATACCAGCACGCCCACCCTTGCACACCTGGTTTTTATTGAGCGAAGTATACCCTTTGTTGAATCTTGTGTAGCGACCGGCCCCGGCGATACAGGGGTCTTGTGTGTTCCTGCATGATCTCCACCGAAAGTGTGGATGACATGTGCCATGTAGAGAGCAGCAAAAACGCTGTTTCATCCCCTTCTCTTGTGACATCCTATCTTCATCAGAGGTGTCCTGCATCTAGAAGCAGCAACCAGGCCAGCCAATGACCCCAAAGCCCACGGCGGTGGAGCGGCTTTCTGTCGTTTGCCTCACACCCAGTCGCCGCCTCTTATGAACGAATTTAACAACGAACGGACTCGCGTCATCACAGCAGTGCTGTGCCTCCAGAAGTGGCTGCAGCTGTCGACAAGGGATGAATGTGTGCCTGTATGATTCCTTTGCGCATGCACTCTGGCGAGCGTGGGAGTTGGAGTGCGCTGCCAGAACGCAGGCGTCAAACAGGTAGTGGCAGCATCCCGCCGGGATGTAAGCCTTCCTTTGCTTGAGGGGCAGCGGCTTGAGAGGTTTTGCAGCGCGGGCAGCCAAAGTGCAGCCGTCTCTTGTCTAACAATGTGGCCTCTGGGCGAGAATGTAGCCCTCTTTGGAAGTGTTAATTTGAGCCCTAGATAAGCTAGCTGGCGAGCAAGCTAGCTAGCCGGATGGCTCTCTAGGTAGCCCCTGCTCTATGGCTCTCCCGAAGGCGCTGCGCATTAAGGGGGGCGGGGAGGACTCCAGTAGAAGTGTTTCCGGGGGCGCTCTCAGACATCCACGTCGTCAGAAAGGGGCTGCACGGTAGCGGTGCTCGGCGGCATTGGGGATACAGGCTGAACTGGACATATGAAGACACCCGGCGAGATGATTCCTTCACAGACAGGCGAGGAGGAAACCATTTGTCAACTCTTCCAGCTGGAAAGGACCACTGGCGTGAAGACACAGGAGACGAGGGCACGGAGCAGCGAAACTGATCAGGTGAAGATGCTTCATTTGTGCATACATGGAAGTGCACGCTGAGAAGCCTTAGCAGAACGGCGACAGCGTTTGGCTAGATGTTGAAAAGTTGTGTGTGCTGCATGTTCAAAAAATTGCGTTTTCTTCGAGTTCCTGCGGCTACCACGTGCCGTAGCCGTGTGACTACGAGGCGCCTCATCCCGCTTATTGTGACTTGGCGATAGATGTGAGCTATTCTTGTAGATGACGTGTGCGTCTAGCAGTGGTGAGGCAGTTGAAATGTATGGTCGTTGAAGCCTCACCAGACCTACACAGACAAGGCTGCAGGGCGGAACAGTCGACGTACACTGCTTCCTTTGAAGTAAAGAATATTTCCTTCAATATGGAGTGCATTTTGAAAAGCATTTTTTTATCCCCATTAGACCAGAAGCAACTCGTCGAGAGTATGGGCTGGCTGCTAGGGGCAAGCTACGTCTCTTTTAAAACTGTAACCTTATTCATAGTGGGTGATCACACGGTTGCCAAATGAAGCAGAGTGGAGCGGGTTCTTGGCCTCGGCTATTACTGGAGACACTCAGATGAACTAGCTGCTTAGGTCACCCAGACATGCTACCCTATGGGACATAAGCCTTGCCAAACAATAGCAGCAAGGCGTGCCCCAAAATCATTGTCGGCTCAGTTATCATGACCACAGACAAGGATGTAGATTTCGAACTGCCGTGAAATTTGAAGATTTGGGGTTACATAACAGTGGAAAGCAAAGTACGGCTCCAACGCTCACCCGCATAGCAATGTTGTCTGCGTACATCTCGGCGTTTACACCGAGTCCAATCGGAAATTCCAACCATTTAAAAAAGGAAAGTGAGCCGAATTTTTTTTCCTTTCAAGAATTGAGGAAGGAAGTTCACGCCTGTCAGGCTCCTACAAAGACCATCACACTGCTGCCGCCTTCTTTGACCAGCTGCCAGCGCAGGCACCAATCAGTGAAAAATGCAAGCAGCAACTAGCGACGAGTAGTTTGACCCTTTCTCTGTTTGTCTCTGGGTTACTGAGTGTGCAAAAGTCTGTAATGCCTCAACGGCAGCAGGATTCCCAGTGTCCGCTCAATACCCCACATTATGGGCCGCGTGTGCTTCTGATGCCGCGGAGGCTTTTACTCTTGAATTATTAAGATACGAATTCTTCGTAGGGGTCAAGAGAGACGGGTTTGACTGCGACTTCGGCTGCGGGAAGGCGCTGAGACAAGCTCAATTAACGGCTAGCTTGAAGTGCTCATTGAAAGGAATATGGACCCGAGCGCGTTCCGTTTTGTGATACCGAGGGGCCTTGGCGACTAATCTGTTTCTTTTTTTCAGGGCCTGATGTGCGTAGCGACTCTTTGGGGGCTCTAAGCACAACAACAGCGCGGCGAGAGGCAACTGCCGCTAGAGCTCCCATATACCCTTCAAAACAGCGAACACGTCGCACTCATGAGCTGTCTTCAATGACTTTGGCTGGCTTCTGGCTAAATGAGCAGCGCACGCGGAAACGGCATGTAGAGGGGCAGAGACGCGAAGCAGCATAATATCTTTGGTAATGGGGCCTCCTCCAGAGACACAGGAAGGACCAGCAAACACGACTAACGCTTCTTCGGACTGCTCTGTCACCCCAACTAGCTGCGTGCTTTATATCAGTAGCAGCCGCAATGTAGTTTCCAGCAATGAGGCCGCAGTTAGCTTGGCAGCGGGAGCTGCAAGTTCTGAGCGCAGCGGCCAGAGGCTCGAAGGCCTGCCGCGACAGCAGTGCCGACGCCGCCAGCAAAGAGGAAGAAACGCGAACACAATAGAAAGAGCAGGCTCTGCACCTTGTGACTTCAAAGGCAAGCTGCAGAGGCAGCACACGCAAAATGGGTGGACGCCTGCATTGCCCCAGAAATTGAATCCTCTTGGAGGATACGGAGGATGCGACAGTGGGAGCGGTGCGCAGTCCACTACCCCAGCAAGAACAACAAATGTAGCTGCTGCAACAACAGAAGCAGCAGCCGACAAGGAAAAAGCGGAAGATGAGATGAACTCCTTTCAATGGAGGTCCCGTGAGAGTTTTTCCTGCAGGGACTTTGACGCCTCATCTCCGTACTTACCAATATCATATTTGGGGAGGGACACTGTAGGGCGCAGTTTCCAGTGTATCGAAAAGTCGACTGGGGACCGGGTTACAGTCAAAGTGGTATGTTGAGTATTGGAGATATTGCCCGACTGTCTTTGGCGACTGTTTTTGCTTGGTAGAGGATGGTTTCTGCAGCCTAGTTGCGACTGCTGCAGTTGCATAGAGAACAGTAGCGTGTTTTTGTGAACACCTGCGCTGCAGCTTTTCCTACGCCTAGTCTTTTCCACTTTTTGCATCAGTAAGGTCATTGCTGCTGCGTACTGCAGTCCATACGTACTGTGCTGCCTTCATTGTCCTGTAGGTGTCGAAGCGCCCCTTGCAGTCTCGCCATCGTCTACGACGGCAAGTGCTTGTAGAAAAGGAGACCTTGTTGTCTTTAAGCGTGGGAGGTCACTCTTCGCATCCTAGCGTGGCTTATCTGAGGCAAATTTACCAGACAGAAGAAAGCTTGTACTTCGTGCTCAACTATACGGGCTGTGTGCGTCTGCGAGATGTGCTGAGACGCTTGAGCCGCGCTGGAGTCAGTCTCTCTATTGGGGCAGCAAGGCTATGGGCAGCCGAGATAGTGGCGGCTCTTGCTACGTTACGGCAAAAGGGTGTGTTGCACAGAGACATCCGCCCAGAGAACATCGTAGTGAGCGAGCGGGGGCACCTCACTCTTGTCGATTTTTACTCTGCGCTGCACCTTGCCCCTGAGACGCAGCAGTGGCAACAGCAGAACGAGCAGTTGAGGGAACAGGAAACGGAAAAGGATAGACACTTAAAACAACAACTTCAGCAGCTGCAGCATTGCAGCACGGTGCACCAGCGAGAGCCACAAAGAGTAGAGGGGTTTTCGTTTTCGTCGAGCTCTCGACGTTCTTACCCCAACTGCAGGAACAGTAAGAAAAGGTATCAAAGTGAACCAAGTCGCTCGCAGGGTGACCTAGAAATACATAGCCGTCGGCGAACGGCTGTAAATTATCCATATGCCGTGGTGCCTGGCTACGCTGCACCTGAGCTGTCTGTTTCTGTCGACTCTGATGGAGATTCCGTCGAGCAACACGATTTCGGGTGCGGGTACGGGACGGATTGCTGGTCTCTAGGGTGCCTTGTGCACGAGTTACTGGTTGGTGAGCCGCCCTTCAAGAACATACCATCTACGGCTGTAGCCCAGGCAGTCTGTGGAGATCAAGAATTATCTCTGACGCAACAGATGCCTGCGGCTGCAGTGGATTTTATAAAATCACTACTGCGATCAAAGGAGGAAGAAAGATTGGGATCCAGGGACATTAAGGAGCTACTGGAACATCATTTTCTCAAAGGAGTCGATTGCATGGCTTTACATTTCCACCCTCTTCCACTGGACGTGATGCAGTATGACTTCGCCTTCCAAGGATTTGGACATTCTTGCCGTGCAAGAGAAACAGCGGCGAAGTGCGATCGCACAGTTCCGGTAGAGCGTGAAGACAATGCGGTGAGAGCAGCTGCTTCAGCTGCAGACACTCCTGCTGCCCTGGAGACTCCGGTTACATTGTTATCAAGCTGCCGTGTCTCCACTTCGAAACCTAGAGCATCTGACGCTCCACAAGCATGTTTATACCCCCAAAGCAACGAGAGGTGCATCCGCAGCGGAGGAGTTCCTGGTATTGTACCCATATCACCTATAAGAAACTGTAACTGCAGCAGAACGAGCCAGCAACTGCAAATCCCTCCTTGTGAGGTGTTGGATCAGGGAACGCCACTTGCTCCCAGTTGGAGCATGAAAAGTGGTAGATGGTGCCTGGAAAACGCTGAGACCCATCAGCAACAAGAACTCACGGGCGCTCTGTCCCTTCGGTATGACGTGACAGAGGAGCCTAAAACTGTTTGCCGTCGTGCGGTCACGGAGGCAGTGCTCGGTTGGGGTCCTCCCTTGCGCCTTCGTCCCATCTCAAGTGCAGATTATTCAGAGGAAAATACTGACTGCCCTGGTGCAGCCACAGAGGAAACAGGAACACGGCGAAGCACTACAATAGGTACCAAGGATAGCATCAGGAAGGTGTCCGAAGCAGCCGGTAACATTCTTCCTCCCGAAAGCCAGCGATCATCTGGTTTGATGCTTAGCCGTTTAAGAGAGGCTGATCAGGGGCGCCTAGGTGGTTCATTTCCTGTCTCCCAGGAAGCTCCGCCGTATCTGGCAAAGTGGTTACTGAAGGGCGAGAGGTTGCACTGCCACGGCGTCTTGCTGCGAATGCGCGGTGAGAAAGGCTCTTTGATATCTATCGCATGCGTAGGAGACACCCACAAAGCAACGAGCAGGGGTTGTTAGTTTTGAGTAAGGTTTGCATGCGTCAGATTTGGTCTTTGGAGCTTCCGGACTAGGCGGAAACTCTTGTGTGCCTGTTGTACCCTCTTAGCAGATTTCTAGGATGAGTGCTCTTGTTGTGATGCTGTGTTGAATACAGAACATCGGAGCTTGTGTGAACGGCTCTTCATCCGGTTTTTCGGGGGTGATCACAAAAGGAACTGCCAGTTGCAGCCGCAGCGCTGCATTGCCTTATTGACGGACACAGGACGGCTTCTACTCTTGGATCCAAACGCAAGAACTCTCCGCGTACGTCCACGCACACAGACAGAAAGGCGAACAGATAAAAACAGGGCTTGATATGTAAGGTATTCCGGGAGCTGTAAAGGCCTAGAACGAAAGCCATCGTAATTTTGTGAGCATACGAAAGGTCAGTGTGAGGGAGTGTGAATACTCAAACGCTGCATCGGTTTCCAGCAAGAGTTTATTCACCGCAAGTAAGGTCAGTGCACCACTGAGTTGTTTGTCAGAGCGTGTCTGCCTGTTTGTTGAGTTGAATTTTCCGATTCGCAGAAGACAGTCGTCCTTGCAACCGATGGTGAGATATATACGGAGGGGAAAGACATGCTCATTTATTCCAGTGCAGGAGACAACTGCTACTTGCTTTTCGCATCTGAGGAAGACACTGCCGCTGCTTGGGCTAGATCTCTTGCTTTATCCATTGAAGTAGGTCTGTTCATTTTCGTTCCTATCTTCATTTATTTTTATGCCGGCGCTTCTTGCGTACTAGCGTTGACAGAAGCGCTTGTTTCCCTTCTGGAGCCAGAACCATGACCAACGCTGGCAGCGCTTTGTTGCGTGCAGAGCCTGCGGTCTAGAGCAGCGTATTTTAGATCTAAAGGAGCGGTGTGCAGTCTGCGAGGAAATACTGATGTTTTAACCGCTGCCTCGGTGGAACATTCATCGCGGGGCAAAGCTGGTTCATTGTCAGCCTCTCGAATGCAGGACAAAGCAGCTCCTGTCTGGCCTTCTTCAAGTGATGAGGGTGCGGCACGACAAAGTAACTTCAAAGGCGAACCTTTCTCCAGCGAAGGCGCGTCTGTACCGACAGCTGCCACTCCCACTATACCACAGAATACAGACCCTAGCAGCAGCGGATTGCATAGTCCTCAGCAACCCATGGGGTGGCAAAAGGAGTTGACTCGCTGTCGCCGGGGTAGCGTTAGGCTGGCTTCTTCGCCAGCATGCTCGAAGAATTATAAGACTCGTCGTCCGCTTTCAGAGGGACCCCATTTGCGCAATTCAAGCTGCGGGTAAGGTCACGAGGCGGGTAAGGTCACGAGGCTTGACGGTCCTACAGTGGTGATTCAGAGGAGAGCAGGAACGCTGAAGGCGAGGTTGCGCGCTTTTGATGTGCAAGCGCTTTGAGCAGCCGACTTGCTGCTTGCCTTTTTCCTGCTTACTGATGTGACGTCGGCATCGGTTGTTTAAATTCTTCTTAAGAAGATTAAAGCTTGTCCTGCGTTTTAGCGCTGTGTGGCTGCCAACATCACAGGGCGAAAGGCAGTGTCTAGAAAGTTAACTCAAAGAGCGCCCACTTTCGGACAGCTGGAAAGGGAACAGAGGATGCGGTGTAATTCATAGCCTATGGCCACGCTGTACTATGTACACAGATGTTATAGCAAAGTAGCCCGTTGGAAGAAAATGCCGGCCATACGCTGCAGAGTGACCTTCAAATGCCAGTCTGCGGCGGCGCATTCGGTTTTGAATCAGAGAATTTACAAATTGCAGCAATGTAGAGCATGTTTTGTATTGCTTTCTTGCATATCAGCGTGGGAAAGTGATGCATTTTCCAGTTGATGTGAAGATGATGCTTGCACGCAATTGGACTGACTATATAATTATACCCTTCTCGTTTGATCTGTCAATTTGCACCCTGTAGGACACAGCTGAAAGGAATTAGGTGGCAGACTAGCTGCACAGCTTGACCAATGTTCTAGCAGATTTTTGGCTTCTCTGAAACGGCGATGTTAGCGTGATTCTGATTTCAGTGCGTAATCAAGGCTGTGCCGCCGATGAGTCAAGCTGAATTTTGACATATTCCCGGCATTTGCAAATTCGATAGACAATTCCAGGATTTAAAGACTTTCCACACGACCGTTTTTGCCTTGATGTTGCACGTTTCTTGTTGCACCTGATGCTACGAAGTTTCGCAACGAACTGCACGGCAACTGTCAACTATCGCCCAGTCGGTTTTAGTGGCAGCCTGCGCACCCTTCCGTTGACGAACACCTGTTCTGTGGTACAAGGCAAGCTATCACCTTGTTAGTGGTGTTTGGTTGACCGCGTACGACCTGAAGTTGGTTGAGTTTAAGTTAAACTGCTTCTGGCACTTAGCTCCTCACTACGAATGAGCGTGCAATTCACAGTCCAACAAGGTAAGGTGTTCCCACCAAAGTTTTGGCAACGGCCTTTTGCCGTCTATTTTCAACAAGCTGCGAGCGTTCAGCCTCAGCCTACTGCTGTTTGCTGACGCGCTTTCCTGTCAGCTGCAAGTTTTATAACTGGATAGGGCATGGCTAAAGGCTGAGCAAACCAATGCTTCGGGCACGCAAACTCAACTTGCAGGGGAAGGCGTACTTACTACGTTTACGCATCACTTCGACAGGGGCCCAAGGTCTAACTAAAAGCAGAGAGAGCTTTGCATCGTAATTGCTACCATAGCGAAGGAACGGACAAACGTACACTCAAACAGAGTTCGCTATTGCTGCTGGTAACTGGAGCACGCAATGAACAGGGGACCATGTGGAGGCAGCAGTGCTTACACTTCACTGCTAGATTTTGCTCATCGGCGACTATAGTTTATTTGAAAGCATAAAGTGCGCTTCTGTACACTGGAAGTTTTTGCTGTCCATGGCACTGAGTAGACGGAACTGCTTTATAAATGAACTTGGCATCATGCCGCATTAATGAATGACTCACCTTTCAACCAGGTTCTTCCAAAATGTGTACCCGAAACTTTTTCAAGGGTGATTACGCAGGATTTTGCAATCCTCCCTTTCCAACCACTGAATCATATCTGAAAACGGCTTTGTCGCCCTCAAAATATTCTCTCAGTCTTCCATAATTTGGTTTAGGCGTGAACTCCAAGCCAGACTCGGGCATACCCTCAAACGTCAAACGAAGTCTTTGCGGCATGATTCGGCTTCGGTATGCCGAATAGAGGCGTACAAGCATTCAAAAAACTATCATGTTACATCGTACTTCAACACCTCTTTGAACACGGGCTCACTTCCTAATTACATACATCGTCAGTCAAGAATAGCGCGACGGGTGGTTTTCGCTAATTTTCCCAAAGGCTTCGTGTCACAATTTCCGTTTTAAGCCGTGTCACAGCGTTGCGTTCCTTTGACTCTGACAGAGGATTCCTGATACGCATTGCACTTCTAGCCTTGGGAATAGGATGCCGAGACTGCTGCAGTTTATAAGCACTGCAATTCTTTTCAAGCCTGCAGCTTTATGCCAGGCAAGTCTAATGCATCAAGTTAGACCTTGAAAATGCAAAAGGCCTCCTAACCAACTGGCTAGCACAGATCTGCACAAGCTTCTGCATCTATGTGCGATGCCAGCGTTCACAATAGATAAAGGCGGAGTGCACGGGCCAGGAAGTATCTGGCCTTTGGCCTGCAATTGTCAACTTGCAGATCTTTAAAATCTCAATCTTTACGCAAGCATGCTGGACTCCACTAATTAAATCAATATTAGTGCGTGTGGAATGGCTGACAGCAGGTCATGCGGGTACATTCAGCCAACAGAATATGCCTGAATAGTTTCATCGTGCTAGTTTGCATTACTCCGTGTGCAGCCAAACTGGTACTGTGGTCATGATTCCCTACATATACAACCAACAGCTCCCGAGGGCAGTTGCTGTTTCTTCTAAGAAGTAGAAACAGCCAACCCAGCTCCTGAGATTAAGTGGTATTGCATGATAGGCAGTCAGCTACACTCTGCATCCGATATTTAGAGCTGCATGTTGAGCGGTGTCATCCGCGCGCAGTTCGCGGCTTTGACGAGGCACACATTGGAAAATAGAAGCACACAGAAAAAGCGTTCTGTATCAGGATCACTAGTTGCAAGCCTTTAATCTGGCAGTTCCTCCCGTTACAATCAACGTCCTCGATTTTGCTTCTCGAGTTCTTTGCAAAGTCACCTTGCCGAACGATAACTCTGCGGGATGTCCTTAGCCACGTGAGCATGTTTCTTAATCAACACGTTTACAGATGGTAAATATTGAAGATGATTTCTGATCACTTAAGCGTGTATTCTATAATGAAGCAGCAGAATTTTGGAGCTTGTACGCAGCCGTGCATATTCAAAGCATCCTGGCGAATCATACCAGCCACCGTTGTTCAATAAAAAATTGCAGCTGCCTACTGCAGTGACTTGCCAAACATATTTGCGCACTCCTGATGGCGTAATTGTGTAGTTATCAATAAGCGTCAATTGAAGCACGCCCAACGCTGCGATACACTTGAGCCTTGCCTGCACAAAATGCTATTTTGGGGATCTTTACTGCACAGTAACAGAGAGATTTCATGAGATGCCCACATCATAACTTGTTTCGAAGCTCCAGCACACACTTTTGCAGCAAGGTGCACGCTTGCTTCGCATTGCGAAGGCCCATTCAATCACTAACCCATCTTCGTGGACTCATGTACACGGGCACAATTTGCGCAGTACATGATGAAACAGTGCGCCCTGGCGTAGCTCTAGCGCTTGGAGCTTCGATTTGCCGTCGACATGAATGGCTTGAAATATTTGCGCCAGCCCAACAGGCAATTCCTTCGAGTCCACACCATTCGTGCTCAAGCTGAAAATGAGCGGAACATTGTCAGCCCAAGTGCGATACTCCACATTGTGATCATCTTTGACCAAGCCCACGGCTGCCCGCAACGAGAGCATATATTCGCTTGTCAACGACTCCTTGCGTTGTTCGACAGCCAGAAATGTGAGACATTCTGCCACATCATAGTTCTGTAAATATTCGCCACTTTCGCGCCAGCGAATCCTGGCGATGATCCCGTGCTGCATTCGGCGAGGGAATATACTTAAAAGAGGAACAACCATAGTTGAAGTGGATCATACGGACGTTTCAAACAGCATCCTTTCAACAAAATCGCAGCCTTCTTGCATGCTTCTCTTGGGAAAACAACACAAAGGGACAGCCGCTGTTCAGTGTACGATGAGAAGACAGCCAAATCGGATTCGCACAACATTGCTTGCGGGCAGGCCACTCACAGTATTGCCAGTGCCAGCAAGAACGCGACAACTGCCTTCCACGCAGGACGGCAAAATCTCCACCAGGGATATTGCCACCTGTTTTACAAGCGAGTGCCACACTTTGTTCATGATGCAGAAAAAATGCAAAGTCGCACTTTTGGAGAGGTGACCAGAGCCTAGCTGCACTTTCTCTTGAGCGCACCATCCCTACAGATGTTTGTGCCCTACAAATGGAGTGTTGGTTTGATTCGAAGTCGAGCCATGCAACCAGTCCACGAGCACTGTTGCTTCGCTGCCAGTTCTGTTCCAATCGTGCCGAAAAATTAACATATTACGCCACTTCAGTCGACGCTAGACCTAGACCTTTTTCGACACTACTTTGCCGGCAGGTCACGCGATCTTAATTTTAGAAGCAGTAACAGCGCTTTGAAGTAGCAGCACACTATATAGTGTGTCTATCCTGGCTTGAAGAGAGCACATGAAGAGCACATTTTAAATCAAGCGATTCACAGACTGGAAACCACTTGCTGAAAGCGCGCATGACGACAATTTTAACAGAGGATTTCCATGCGAAAACCGCCATAAAATCTTCCATGCTCATGTCTCGCCCGAATCTTCATAAAAACTTCAGCCATTCACTGACTCCAAGAATTAAATAGCACGAGCACACCATTGTCCGCAGCCCATGTACAGCAAGCAGAGCAATGAGAGCAGTCTACAACTAAGTGAAAATGTGATTGCTGTGACCTAGTCTAGGAGCCGTTGGTTTTGGATACTATCCAAAAGGCAGCCTGCTCCTAAACTAGGTCACAGCAAACCCATATTCACTAAGATGTAGATTGCTCTCATGCTCTCCTTGCTGTACACGGGCTGCGGACAATGGCGTGCCGCGTCCTTCAGGTCTTGTTGACCCAGGGTTACGCTCAGGATCGCGAATGTCTGCTTCCTCAGCTTTCCATGCAATGTAAAAGATCTAAAACGACTAGCGTGGTTGAAGGCTAACCTACAGTCAACATCGATAGGCGCCTACAGCAGCCATTCTGCGCAGGCGTCATGATACATGCACCAACCCACTTCCTGATCCATAAAGAAGAACAGGTGGGTGCAAGTGCAATCTGCCGCGTCTTGATGCCGGCATCTCCATCTGCAAGGCAGCTTCACTCTTCACTCGTCACCTTCTCTGCCGAAGCA